TGCTCGCTTTGGGCAATTCCTGGTGAAGTGCTCCTCCCCACAAATGTAGCAAATGGGAGGACGGCTTGGTCTCCCTTGATATCTATTGTTGTAGTAGCTTTGACTTCCTTGTGGCCGCTTCCCTTTGTGGTGCTCGACCGGTTTGTGGTTGAAAGGTGGCTTCTCTTTTGGGGGACTTGGTTGTCTATCTCCCCCACTCGAATGTATGGTACGCAAGCTGGCTGGTCTGCTTCCTTTGTCATCCGATAGTCTCCGTTCACTAAGTTGTTCAGCCACAGCCATGGCGGAGGCAAGGTCCTGAACATTGCATCGTTGGAGCTCAAGCTCGGCCCAAGGCTTTAGGCCATCCATGAAGTTGAACAATAAGTCCTTGTCTGACATATCGGTGACTTCTAATGTGAGGGCTGAAAACTCTTTGACATAGTCATGCAGGGAGTCGCCGTGCTTGAGAGTCTTCATCTTGCGACGAGCGAGGTATTCCACATTCTCTAGGTAGAATTATCTCTTCAGCTCTCATTTAAAGTCAGCCTAGGTACGGATAACACACGTACCATGTTCTATATCAACACACCTTCTGCGCCACCACAACATAGCRACATCAGTCAAATACATAGTAGCAGTACGTACCTGAGTCATTTCATCAGTCACATTGGCGGCGGCAAGGTACTGTTCCATTTGCCACAGGAAGTTGTCAAGCTCTCGTGCATTGCGGGTACCCGAATAGGGAGTTGGCTCCCTAATCTTGATGTGGGAGGGAATATGTGCAAAGGAAGTGCAAGCTGGATTAGTGACAGCCCTCTTCAAGATTGCACATTCTGCTTTGAACTCCTCTAATTGAACTTGGGTGTTGGAGGAGGCACATGCGGCGGACTTCATTGAGGCCCACTCCGCTCTCATTTCATCTAGTTGGGCTTGGACGGCCATTGATATGGAGGTGCTTCTTCTCCACGTTGCCCACTCGTTCTTCATCTCATCGAGTTGGGCTTGAAAACTGTCAAGCCTGTCTTGGACCTGCGAGTTGGAGGAGCTTGCTTCTTGCTGGCGCGCAGTGCTGCAAATTTGCTTGAGCGTGCCATTGATTATGTCTCGGACCTTGTCCATGACTCCGCTCAAGCGACCTTCAATCTCGACCAGTGTGTTGTCCATGGCTTCCATGTTCTGATGCAGCTCGTCTATCGAGTCTCGCATCTCACCTACGGTGGCTTCGCAACGCAGCATGCGCAACTCAACGACTGCATGCTTGTTGGAAGATTTCTCACGTTTGTTGGGCTTCGGTTCCTTGTCCTTGCTGATGTCGTCGACGGGCGCCTCATCGGCCTCATGGGATGTGGAGAGTCCATGCTCGATCTCCCCCACGATGTCCCTGTTGTGCTTTATGTTGTAACTCGCGTCGCGTGTCGAATGGCTTAAAAGGAGCTCCTGCTCTGATACCAACTGTCACGGGGTTAATCGTTGGGGCCCCGTGCGACACTCGAAAGGGATGAGTAAGCCTACGCAACAAAGCAAATACACACAAAAGGCAACATGATGGCACACGAATTAGCAAAAGGCTATTTGTATTGCATTAATCAGTGGTAAGCACAAGCACACAATAAAGTGTCGAGGTGATCTCGTGCTTAACCTTTACACACTTATGAGCTCACTCGACTATCTACCTCCCCTCAAAGAGTACGTTAAGCTATTGGGGGAGTGACAATAAGAAACATCAAAAATGTGAAAAAACATACTACAGTATTACAATAATGGCATTGGCAATTCCCCACACAAAAGTACATGCATAGCCCACCCATGACACACACTTGGACGCTGGAATGGCGGCTGTAGGCATGATGGTTGGCACTTGATGGCGCGGCGAAGAGAACATTTGTTACATACCGGCATCCTAAAGAACATCGAGGTTGGAATGCTACTAGAGGCTGATCAGTGCCAAGTTGCAGATGTTGAAACACGCCATGCGCCTACTAATATCGTCGTTGGGCTCCTCCGATCAGCTGTTGTAGCTTTCTTGACAAGTCCCAAGAGGCTTATGCCGCTGAGGCTAGCGGGGAGCGCTCCGCGCGGCGAATCCATCTCCGTTGGGAAAGATGGAGGTTTATTTTTATCTTGGCCGAGATCGAGATCGAGGACAAGAATTAGTTTCAAGGTCGGGGGGAAGGGCTCGTCCCATTGCAATTCCTAGCAAATGGATCATCAGCCACACGAATCTGTTCTGTCATGCTATTCTGCTTTTATTCAGATAAGCGAAGGATATATATATATATAAATCAGCGATCACCTGCCACCATTTTTTCAATAACATATAACTTCTCAAACTCGAAACTCCCATGTTATGTTCATCATGAGCTTGATGCTAAAAGGTTTTTGCCTACTAAGAATCTATTTGGTTTGGAATTAGAATCAAAATAATCAGAGTTGAAATTGAAATACATCAGACGAATAGGATTCAGCAATGGTCTATTCCTCCTAAATGAAAATGATATCCTGATTACACTGAAATTCCATTTTAAACCACATTACAAATTTTATGATGATGGATGAATTCATATTATGAAAAATAAAGTACCATTATTCAACGATGGTCCCAAAGAGCGGAGTGGCGGAGTGGATTGGATTAAGGGTGATTATTTCCAAATCAGCCTTTGCCCAGCCCACAATATATTCTTTATTACATAAATTATATTATATATTGTAAACACAGCACCATATCAAATATTTTATGGACTTTATTTTGTGAACGGCCCAAAACCTGGTCCATCCATGTCACAAAAACATCTTATGTTCTGAGTTCATGAAGTGAATCAAAATTGGCAGAGAGAGAGAGAGATTGATCGATCGTCTCCGTCTGCCTTAATATTTGACAACACATTCCGAAAGCTTTGCAAAGGTTTTGATTGGACGAAATAAACTCCATTGAGATCTCTCCTCCACAAAAAAGGAATAAAAAATATATAGACAGCGGACGGAGCGTAAACTAGACATGGTCCACATGGAAGGGGAAAAATGCCCATGTCTTTTCCAGGAAGAAGCGTTGGAGCGTTGAGCATATCATGTATATTCTCTGATTACACGTGTCTCGTTCTTACAATCTAGGTGTGAAGATGGGACCCATTGTTTATCACGGGTCATCATCGTGAGTCGTGATGGTGCAACTTCTGCAGGCGAAGTTCAAAGTCCACACATATTTATCTTCTCAAAGCTTAGTCAACCGTCATCATACCCAAGGTCCTAAGCCAACAGCCAAGAACACAGATCCTCAGTCTCCCATCTCTCTCTCTCTCTGACAGGGCTGATATTAGTTCGGCCGCAAGAGCAGAGCCACGCATAGACGGAGACAGAGACAGAGTGCTTGAGCTTGAGATGGAAGTGATGGAGAAGACGAGAAAGATGAAATCGGAAAAGTTAACTTTGATACTGGTGAACCTGGCGGGAATAATGGAGAGAGCAGACGAGTCGCTGCTACCAGGGGTGTACAAGGAGGTCGGGGCGGCACTCAATACCGACCCAACTGGTCTGGGTTCTCTCACCCTCTTTCGATCCATCGTCCAGTCATCCTGTTATCCCCTCGCTGCCTACCTCGCCGTTCGTCACAACCGCGCCCACGTCATCGCCCTCGGCGCCTTCCTCTGGGCCGCTGCCACCTTCCTCGTCGCCATCTCCTCCACTTTCTTTCAGGTCCCCTTCTTCCCTGTCTCTCGACTGTTTTTTTTTTTTTCCTGGATTTGTAATTCCTGATAAATCCAAAATTGATTACCTCTGTGTTCCTTTTCTGCGCTTACTCTATCAATCCAGTTTGGTAGTCGGTTTTCTTTTCTTGTTCTTTGTTTTCTCTTTATATTATTAGTTAATGTCGGTATGAGAGAAGCAGATCCGATGCTGTTAGCCAATTTTAGTTAAGATGGATGAGCTGGTAGTTCGTTCTTGACCTGGTTTGACTCACTGGGTACTATTCCATTTTAATGGTTAACGGCGGGAGGTCCTGTAAAAGCATTCATATACGAAAAAATTTTGGATTAACCGACCTATCAATCCTATTAAAGAACTTCTTAGAGTCTGAGAACTGATCTCTAGTTTTAGAACTAGCCCCTCCAAAATGGTTTTCTATCCCTATTACAACTTTAGAAGGTCAATTTGCAATTGCCACTTGCATCCAGTTGCAAGATGGTGTTGGAATCAAGAATCTTCTGGGTCTTTTATGCCATTCCCAAAAGTGAAAGAGCAAAACCGGATGTTCATACTGGATGCATTATCAGATTCATCATTTGTTTATGGCTGCAAACGTTTTGTGAGCCATTTGCCTTAAACAGATTGTTAAATTAAATTCAGAAAACTGGAAGGACAATATTGTTTGTATACCAATTTGGGAAAGTGAACAGATGAATGGATTTATTAATTCAAATCAGAATGGTCCAGTATATACCAATGTATATATCAATGGAAAAACAGTCTGTGGAAAGAGAATAAATGGGCAGAACTTAAAACTCAAAAATTTAGAGCGTTGTGCTCCACACAGAACAAATTATCTTGTCTGACGAAGTGGAGTTACAAATACAAAGTTTCAAACTTTCTATTAGAACCAAACCCATTAAGGTGATAGAAAAAATGGAAAAAAAAAACACAATTAATTTTTCATTGTTGTTCTATTCTAGTTGTATTTATCTCATACTTTCATGTTCAGGTGGCTGTCTCAAGAGCTTTGAATGGAATTGGGCTTGCCATAGTTACACCTGCCATTCAGTCTCTTGTTGCTGACTCGACTGATGACACCAACCGTGGTATGGCTTTTGGGTGGCTTCAGCTAACAGGGAATCTGGGATCAATACTCGGTGGCCTCTGTTCTGTTCTGATAGCTTCAACATCATTCATGGGGATCCCTGGTTGGAGAATTTCCTTCCATCTAGTTGCAATAGTGAGTGTCATTGTAGGTCTTTTGATCCGTCTCTTTGCCAATGATCCACGCTTTTCAGATGAGGGCAGTAAACCTAGCAGTCCAAGTCCAGATAAATCTCTATGGTCAGAAATGAAGGACCTGGTTCAGGAAGCCAAGTCAGTAATTAAAATCCCATCATTCCAGATAATTGTAGCTCAGGGTATTACTGGCTCATTCCCTTGGTCAGCCTTGTCATTTGCACCAATGTGGTTAGAGCTTATTGGCTTCTCCCACAAACAAACAGCATTTCTCATGAGCATGTTTGTGGTTGCTGGTTCTCTTGGGGGACTATTTGGAGGAAAGATGGGGGATGTCCTTGCAAAGCGTCGCCCCAACTCTGGAAGGATAATTCTGTCACAAATAAGCTCAGGTTCAGCTATCCCACTAGCAGCAGTTCTGATGTTGGCTTTACCCGATGATCCCTCCACAGCTTTCATGCATGGTTTGGTGTTATTCATCATGGGTTTATGCATATCATGGAATGGTCCTGCTACAAACAAGTAAGTGTTTGTTTCCCTTCTCTGTTTTCCACCTTTTACTTTCTTTTGGTAACAACTGCTTGGTTTATAGGCAAATAAAAAAGATGATTGATTAGGACTATCCAGCTGAGTTTCATACAAGGAGACATCAGTGAGCTCTCCTTGTCATATAAAAAAAAAACATGTGCAAGTGCCCAAAAATATTTTCCTGATTCTTGTGAAACAACAAAATAAAACACAATGGATCTTTAATTTGTTGATATATATGGTTTTTGCAGTCCAATATTTGCAGAGATAGTCCCTGAGAAGTCAAGAACAAGCATCTATGCTTTGGATCGATCTTTTGAGTCCATATTATCGTCATTTGCGCCACCTGTAGTTGGATTACTGTCTCAGCATGTTTATGGTTACAAACCTGTTCCTAAGGGATCCAGTGAATCTGTTGAGATTGAAACAGATAGAGAGAATGCTGCATCTCTAGCCAAAGCGCTTTACACAGCAATAGGTATTCCAATGACACTATGTTGCCTGATTTACTCCTTTCTCTATTGCACCTATCCAAGAGACAGGGAGAGAGCACGAATGCATGGGTTAATAGAATCAGAGATGCAACTGATAGAGTCCAATAATCCTCCTGCAGTAGAACACACTCAAGTTCACTTCTCAGAATCTGATAAGCTGTATGGAAAGGAAAAAAGTGTGATTGAAATGGATTATGGAGAAGATGGTATTGATTTTGATGAAGGTGATGAGAAGACCCTGCTTTACCGTCAACTGACATTCTCGAATTTAGGAGAATAATGATATTGAAAATCAGAATCTCTCTGTATGGCTAAGTAAATGACTTTCACTCAAATATAGAGAAATCTTCTCCAACCAGTGAACCAGTTTTTCAGAAAACCAGTATAGGCTTCACAAAATTTTATGTAAAAAATTAGGTCAAAACACAGTTAAACATTTTACCATTTCTATCCACCCATGTTCAAAACATAAAGTTAAAGCTTCAGCATTTTAAGTATTTAGAGCAGGTCTTTTTTATTATGAAAATGTAATTGCATTGCAAGGTGCAGACCAGCTGGTTGGTAAGGTCTCTGCTGGTCATAGTGGAGACTTGGGATCGAATCCCACCTGCACCTGGATTTGGGGATGGGCTACCCCCCATTGTGTAGCCCTTCAGAAGATATCAAAGAAAAAAAATGTAATAGCGTTTTGTGATGAAATCCCTTGTTTTCATACTCATCTTAATGTTGTCTTGGGATCGATGTATGGTCTCAGACTGTTGCTTCGTTAAGTTTCTGCTTCCTATTCCTGGGTTGATTTGAAGCATGTGTTAATTTCATATATATATACAACTCAATAAGTAGTCAGACAGACTTGAAGACCCTTGAAGTTGTGAGGCATCTGCTGAAAGCACCGAGTCATTCTTCACGGTCTTTATGCAGTATATGCGATGATAAGTAGATTTATGCGTATACCTCGTTCAAATACTGGACATAAAACATGATATAAATAAGCACCAGTCATTTGGTCTCGAGATTGCTACAACAGAAGCACAGGTCCTGAAGCACATATTATAAAGCTTCGCTACAAGGGATTTGACCAAAATGGTAGTCTTGAAGGCTAGAGGCTTTTTCCATTGGTTAAACCTCTCTTTTCTTTTCCATTGTTTTTGTTCGGATTGTGACTTAATGGTAATTAGCATCGGTTATTAATATTCACAGGCCTATTTTGTTTACAATGCAATTTCATTTGCGTTGGTGTATAAATATGGGAATGCAAATGAGTTGGTGTTTAAGTGTGGGAATTCAAATTTCACTTTGTTTTGTTTGTTGCAATGTAAATGAAAGTAAAATAAAACCTAAAGCAGGAGTAAGGTAAAGCCCAAAGAAAATGTAAATCAGAATATACACTTTTTCTGATGATTTGCACTCCCATGCATTTGTATGTGTGTGCGAAGGAAAATGGAAGGTGCTGTGCAAATAGTTTCTTTTTGAAAATATGGTAGGGAGAGCACAACTCTTTCCAGAAATCAATATCTATCATTCTATTGTTCATGGTCAAAGCAGGCCACCTTTGCAAAAACCGTTAACAAGAATAACCGTCCTTCTCATGGGCCGTGGCAACACAAGGCAAATACCTGACAGCGTACAACATGATCTATAGTCACACATTTCAAGCATGACCCCATCAATGATAACATACAAGTACAAAATATGTTTGAGATGTGCAGCTGTGGGTCATGTTGGAAGCTGTGTGGATAGCAGATTTGGTCTCTCAATTGCAATCACTTGGGTGTTGGGTGTACCATGGGTCTAGACTCGTGAGAAAAGAAGCCCACCTAACTTAAGTGGAAGGGCAAGAGAGTAATTTCACTCATCTCTAATTGCTCTTGTTGTTTCAAATCAGAAAAGAATATGGATTCCTATAAGAGACTTTGGCATTCTATTGGAGAATTTTGCCAAAAACACAAGGGTTTTCTTGGAGAGAGGAGTTCATTGTGAAGGCTCGTACAGTACATATCTGGGATCTGGCTATCTGCCATCAAGCATCTCCAGAGATTGTTTCCAAGAGTTTATTCTTCCTCTTGACTCTTGAGGTGAGAACCATTTTATTTCTTTGGTAATTGTATTCCAACCTGTTGGTGAGGAGTTTGGACTGTACCCAAACTCCTATAGAGTTGTTTGTATTTCCATTGTCATTACAATGGAAATTTTCTAGGCTAGTTTCCCGTAATTTTTTTCCCCTTCACATTAAAGAGGTTTTTCACTTTAAACATTCTGTGTTCTTGTAGTTTCTTTGGCTTGAATTTTGCGGGCATGCTTGAGAAAAGGGAGTGGCTTTCTACTTTTTGGTAAAAAGAAAATTTATTAAAACACACAAAAACAGAAACAACAACCTAAACCACCACTGCCCCCC